CACACACACACAGATACTGTACACTGTATACACTTACTAAATATATTAGCACATGCACTTTAATGAATTCCTGCGCATGTTTTAAATGTTGATAAAAATCAGGAGAAGAGAAATATAACACTTGATGAACACTTCACAAGTCTCATCTGGCATCTGAATAAACACTGAATTCAAGAGTGAACTTTGACCTCACTTCCACACTGGGTGAGTGTTCACTGTACTCTGTGTGTGTGTGCACGTGTGAGAGTGAATAAGAGCATTCCAGACATCTGCAGAAATGAGAAAGGTCCTGAGATTCTCCCGAGTCTCAGACCTCCCCCACACTTCCTTTCACAAAGCAACACACACTTGCACAAACACACACACAGATATGTACGCTCTGAAACATAAGGTCAAACTTATTAAATCTGTTTTGGGCGTAATCTTAATGTCTGCTGCTAAAGATACGGTACCGTTTGTCAAACGAAAGACAGAAAAGAAGCATTCTTCTATTTTATATTAGTATTACGAGGAATTTTATCTTTCATTTCTTCTCCTCAGTAGTGTGTCCTTGTAGAGTCAGTTTCACTCCAGCCTGCAATAGTGATGTTTTATTCATTTTGTTGATATTTTTTAATCATAATATTACTATTATGTAGTATTTGGTAGTCTAATCTGCCAAAACAGCTTGATGAAACCAGCACAGTCATCGCGTTATTATAAATTATGATGAGTAAGTATTATTCAAGGTGGGCAGAAGAGGAAAATCAGAAATGAAGCAGGGATGTTGTGATCACAGCATAAAGCAGGCACTCCCACAGCAACACTACCACGACTCCCACACAACTCTCTTTACGTTTACACAACTTTAAGTTTAACCAAAAAAAAATTCTGTTCAAATTTTAAAAACGACATTTATTGCAGAGGCCGTAACAGAATGCTCTCCACAGCAGATGTGTTAGCTCTCAAAGGTTTAGTGTAAATATTGAGTTGACTGATGAGTTTGATGAATGATTATTTCCAGGAATACTCCAAATATACCGATGCTCAAACCTGCTTCAGTCCGTAGAGCCCTCAAGCAGGTACGTTTGCATTTGCAAACACATACCTAAGCAAAAGTAAACATCCAGCACGCCCACAGACACTAAAAACAGCCAAAGTCCAAGTGTTAAATATTTCCACTCAGAATCTCAAGGAAAAAAAGCAGCGTTGGGGAGACAGCTCTGGATGCAGGCTCTTGTTACATACTCTGTGTGTGTGGGTGTGTGTCTGGAACCCAGCTGGCTCGGACAGGTTGAGCTAAATTATTGATTTCATGAATAGGTTTTGAGTCAGACTCAGATTCACATGTACGATGCTGGAAAAAACTCTGAATTTATAGTTTGAACATGAGTTGCAACTTCAGTCTTCATTACGGTTTGTGCTCACAAAAAACTAAATCTCTCAAAAGTAGAATGAGTTTGAGAATATAAGTTTGGAAACAGACTGGGTTCAAATATTCAGGTTTCGGGTTGCACGAAGTATGTGTCTTTGTGTTTCTCACCTGTTGTTGATACATTCTTTTAGCTCTGTGGTCCAGGAGCTGACCTGCTGGTCGTTGTCCGTCTCAAATATCAGACTACCTCGATTAACCTGCAGAGACAAAGATTTTTTCTAATTTATTATCCACATTACATAAACGCCGGAAAGCACTACTTTGAGGAAATGCCAGAAATAGATGGTAGACACCGTTCGAAGAAGAACTAACAGGATACCTAGAACTCAATATTGCTATTTGGGCAGCGGCTCAACTTTTTTGTGAGTTTTGTAGCTTATTCTAATGAAACAGGTGTAACAGGTAAAAAAAGCTTTTGAGTCAACTTTACTTCATATTTGGTAGGAGTTTCGGGGAGCTCACAGTGCAACAGGATGGACCAGACAACATACACACCATCATGTAAATAGACATAGAATAAACACACAATATAGCTTTAATAATTACACAGAAAAACAACATGTAGCTTAAAGTACCATGGGGTTAGAATTAGAGTCAAGTAGCCTTTTTTTTTTAGCCAGATTTAAAATAAGGTTGTTTGCTAAGAGGGAATTCCCTCAAAGAGGAGATAATCTAACAATATTTGGAGCCAAACTGTAAAGAGAGACAGGAGGGAGAAGTCAGAATTGGTTTTAATTTACCTATTTGTCTCTAATGCTATCAGATACTCACTGCTGTGACTTTGTTCACAATAAAGAAACAAACTACAAAGGTTTTAATTAACTTGGATTCAAGTCTGTTACCCTGGATTTCACAGCCAAACAATAATATACATCCTTAAAAAGGTTTTCAAACCACTTCCGCAGTGCAACAAAGAAGCAGTGTTTTTTTATATATATTTTGGTGAAACGAGGGTCGATGGAGCAGCCATCTTTCAACACTGCAGTTCGTGGATGTTTGATACTCGAGACAAGGTTTGGATGGAATATCCTTTAGGTTTTAACCAAAGAGGTCTAAATGAAGGCTGTTTGGTGAGTATTGTTATGAAATGATATGACACAATGATTGTCCCGTTTCCTCTTCATGTTGGATTGAGGGTTGGAGATCTAAGCAATGTGGATGTAAATAACACAGCGGCTAGAGTCTGCAAACTGTAGAGTTCTTACTTCCATTTAGCTGAAAATATCTGTATACCTTTAAAACAAATGTGTTTAAGTTGTCAGGCATCTCCAGTCGGTTGCAACGACGGACTTCTTGGATATCTGAGCAGTGAGTCGTCAGCTTGGGACTGGAGGCCTGAAAAACACAATAAAGACACGATGACAGTCGGTTAGATCAGACGTTACCATCATGAAAGGAGACACAAAAAGGCACAGAAACAGGAAGTGATAGTGTGCTGTGTCCTGCAAGAGCGTTAACCTTCCTGATCACTCTCCATCTCTCTGGTTTGTAGAGATAATAATGAGACGGCTGACCATTGCCACATTCCCTAAACAACACACTGAACAACATGCTTACAGGCTGGTTTATGGTATTCTGAGAGGAAACTCGAAGGTTTGGGGCTTTTAAAGAAGTTATTCTGAAAATGGGACATTGTGAATATTAGATTCCATTTCTGCTAGCAGATCCTCCTAAATGTTACACACTGGACCTTTAAACTACAGATACCACACTACACCACAGACATACATGTGTGCAGCACATTTTACTATTCACTATGTCATGTACATGTAACAAATGGGAACCAGATGGTCCACACAAACCAGTGTCAGTTTCTGTCAGAGGGAGACACATTTGTGTCTGTACTGTTATGTTTATTTGAGTGTATGTGTGTTTCCACATCTGGGCTTTTTGTCCAGTTAAATCAAACTTTATTTTGTCCATTGGTTCAATTAAATCGGGCAGGTGTGAACACAGTAATCGTACTCGAGTGTGGACCTAAACAATCGCACTAAGACCCTTGAGAGGAGTCTCAAACGAACTCTGGAGCGGTTTGTTTGTTGTGGGAACGTGATCCTCGATCCGACCCAACTACCAGGTGTACTCCACAAGTTTGAGCTAAACAACTCCTCTAACCAGGTGTGCTTTGCATTCTGGGATGTGGCAGAGCACCAAACTGTACCAGCTTGCATAGTAATAGCAGCAGCAGCAGCAGCAGCTAGCCAGTGAATACACCAAGGTGTTGCATTGCAATGTTTAATCACTTTCTTAGAAACAAGACTATGTCAAAGCCTTCTATATAGTGTGTGTAATGTTAATTCCTGGATAATAAATGTTCATCTGCAAATCTCTGTAGTGGTCCTAATAATATTTGTTCTTAAGCCGTATGGAAGCAGATCACATGAAATGGTTAAGCTACATGTGAGTCAAAAACTGTTATAGGCTAAATTCAGTTGCAAGAACAACAGTTTCTCACTCCTATCTTAAGATGTCTGATTTAACTTTCCTTAACTTACTAAAACTATTCTATTCAGCCAAAAACCCGACAGAACAGCGAGGCGGTCAACAAACAGGAACATCAAAATGCTAAAAGTTCACCAACTAATCAAGTGTTTCGGAAAAAAGCATACATACTATAGGTGTGAAAACGCCTAATGTGTGCAGTATGTGCATATGTGTTGTCCCTATATGTGTATGCATGTGTGAATGTGAAAACTCTGTGCTGCTGAAACTGAAGCCTCACTTAGAGAAAGAAAACGCAGGGAATTGTAGGAAGAAGAGCATGATGGGAGCTCTGATGGCAGAGCTCCAAGGCCGACTCCACCAGGACAAACTGTGTATTTGAAGAATGTTAAATGAGATATACGAGGGGCTTCCTGGTGGCTCTTTTACCTGAGGCACACTGCATAAACTCCTAAAACTGCGGCTTTGAGTCTGTCGACCGCCATCTAGAAAACATCAGTCACCCGGATTTGTATGTATTAATAAAACATATGAGCTCCTTTCTACAGGTGTAAGGCCGCTCTTTAAAGCCCGGTCCCTTGTAGGTTGACATGAAACCCACTAATAAAGCGATGCAGAGCCTTCGAACCCTCAGATACACACAGGCACTAACAGAGCCACAGGCATAAACACACACACACACACACACACACACACACACACAAATATATATACACATGATAAGGTGACCAA